TTCTTACTAGAGCACTACAGGAACTGACCATTTTTCCAGCATTTAAGTGATGTATCATATGTACAAGTTCCACTTGAGTTTGTCCCCACAGACACTCAAGGCATGAGGCCTACCTCTTCATCACAATAGGTGAAAATTCAGGGTTTGCTTGGTGATAATGGAATATCTCTTGTTTAAGTTAATGTTAGTCAGAATATGTTTGTTTATGTTTATACTGAAGACTGTTTACAAGAATAATAACATAATACTTTATGTAATTTGTAAATATGTATTAAAATGGAATTGATTAATTATAGTCATATTTTTTCCTTGGAATGGTTGTAGTCTTTACTGAATAAACTGGAGATTAATTATTTTGAACCAAGGGAGCATCCTGGGAAGTGTTACAGTCTTAAAAAGTTCCCAGATATGTAATTGAACTAATCATAGGAAATGTTTTCTCCAGTATTGAGACATCTCTTGCTAATGGCTTTTTTTTGAATTTATAGGCTATCTAAGTTTGGTTTGTTTTGTTTTATGGCATATCAACCTCAGTGGGTTATTTAAGACCGACAAGATTTTTACAATAGATTAATATGAACAGAATGTTTTCTTTGTAAAAAATCAGTTTGTAGATCAGGTTTCATTGACATATTTTCATAAAATGGGTTTTTGTTGAGAATCAAATGTATTGCTGGTAACATTTTTCTTGTCAAAAATTTATTGCTGGTAACATTTTTCTTGTCAAAAATTTATTGCTGGTATTTTTACTATAAAAATATTTTTATACTTTCATAGTATTTTACCCCATTTTGGGTGTTAACTATTTTCCCATAGCTGGGACCCTAACAGGTGCTACCACCCTGGGTTAGGATGGATCTTGGAATAACAGCAATTAAGAATTGGTTCTACGCCCCTCAAAACCAACCCTATCAGAGGCCTTACTGGCGGATGTAGTTTATCGTCATACCCAGGGCGACAGGCTATTGACCTTACTAAACTTGACATTGATTTAAAAAAATATAATAACTGATTGATCAAAAACAGAAAAGCAAGATTGAAAGTTATGACACATAAAAACCCACTGATAATACTGAAAAGATTATGTGCATTGGGGTTGATGGGAAGATTGAGAAAGACACTTAATTTTACCAAAAAGTTATGGGGAATAGTGACATTAAGCTGAAGAAAGGTGAAAGAACAAGAACGTCATTTAAGATTTCCTTAGGAAATTGGAACTGAAAGTGGAGCATCTCACTTGTAGAAAAACTCTAATTAAAGGTATGAGTGGTGTTCTTCTTGCTGAAGAAGTTGTTGGTGTATTATAAGAATTTAACAGTGTACATCTCTGAAAAGCTGTTCCTCTGGACAATGCAAATAAAAATACTAGAGTAGAACTGGCCTGGTGACAGGTCTGGAGAAGAAACTTGAATAAAAGTTACTCACAACTGGTTAATTACTACATGGGAATGTGCTCCCATTCAGAGCTGTTTTCAAATATATTAATGGTACAACAAAAAGTTGAACTGCTTTTACAAGTCCTCTTGGGAAACTGAAAATGACTATCAAATTTCAACTATCTTGCTTTGTCCAAAGTTGATTATGAAACTTTTAGTTGTGGTCAGTCACTGTTCACTGGGAATTTATTTAGAAATATTAAGGCTCTGCCATTTAATAAGGCATTGAGATTTTATATATGAGAGAAAGTTATATATATTTAGTTTATGAAAAACTAGGTAATCCGTATGGGTAGACCCAAGGAGGATAAAATCCAGAGAGCTCAATGTAAATCCAGAGCAAATAATTTAAATAAAAACAGACCACTTTAAGGTTCCATGTAATAAATTATTTCACCACAGCCCTTTGTGTCAATGTCTAGACCTCCTCAAGTAATTTTAAGTATGAAAGAATAGAAATATTAAATTACATCTAACTCACTCATGTCTTCTCTCTCCCCCCTCACTTCCTCACTTCATTAATTTACATATGTTTAATACGGCCCGTCAAAAATGTGTAAATTTCTTTTCATTTTTCGTTTCAACCTTTGGAAGTAAAGTCTGATGATCCGCTGTCTTTTAAAAGGGCTGTGGTGAAATAATTTATCACATGGAACCTTAAAGAATAAACCAAATAAATAAAAAGTAAAATAAACAAATATAAGTAAAATAAATTAATCCAAACCAATAAGTAAATAAATTTAAAGAATTAACAAAACATGAACACACACATAAACACAAGTAAATGTAAGCAAAAACACAATGCATATGGCCTGATGTTTGCATATAAGCATGAAGAAGTCTATTGCCACTGAGTGTTGATGTCAATGCCCACTATATATAATATATATTCACACACACGCACACACACACACACACACACATAAATTCACAAATATATGCATGCACACAGATATATACATATATACACATAAATTCACACACATAAACTCCAGGAAAGTGACTCATTGCACCTACTCAGGTTATCATTCTCAGCTTCACTCTGTTGTGTGAGACAGTTTTTCTTTCCAGAATCTATCATATATATCTATAAGTCTACCATTTGTCCATGCTTAGAATATTGCTGCCATATATGGTCTGGTGCTCCTGCTATTTACCTTGTCCTCCTTGATAAAATCCAAAGAAGAATCAGAAATAACATTGTTTCTGATCTGGTGGCTTGACTTCAGTCACTTTCCCATCACCGTAAGGTTGCCTCTCTGTGTCTTTTCTATATATTTCTTATACTCTTACTTATACTGTAATTGTTTGGATGAGCTCTTCGCTATGGTACATAGAATTTTTAAAATTAAAGTGCTGTACTAGACTGGTGTCATGATCTCATCAATTTACAGTTGAGCTGGCTAAATGTAGGTGTAAATCTTATGCTAACAGTTTCTTTTCTCACACTTCTTGCTTGTGGAACTCCCCTTCAGCTCCATGCTTTCCAGTCAACTTTAATCACTGAAAATTAAAATGCAATGTCCTGTTCTCCTGATTACTCTTTTCTCTTCGCTTTCATTAGTAATGTTTCCACACCAAGTAACCCCTTGTGTCTTAGTGGCTAAAATGCCTTGCTTGGGGTGAAATTGATTTACAAATTAAAATTTATATATATATATATATATATATATATATATATATATAGACAAAATGCTATGATTTGTCTATATAAAGTACATCAGAGGATGAGAACATGATGGCTAAGATAAGTTTTCTTTATTGTCTTTATTCATATTGTTCTTTTATACTCTATCTGAAATTTTAACTTTATATATATATATATATATATATATATATATATATATGATAAAATATAGTTTTAAGGTATGCTATATTTATGGATTAAAGTGGTCACTATCAGCGATTGAGTTTATGTAAATATGAAAGTGGATATATATAAGTCAACACCCAGCTAGCATGAAGTCACAAGTTATTGTGGCTGAGGTCTTGAACGTGCTGGCCTTGTTCAAATTGCTGATCACACTAGATAACATATTCTTTCTCAGAAACTGTAACTAAGGTTTGCTCAGCATAGTTGCAGTATAAACCACAGTTAGGCTCTGTGGGTTTTGAATAAACACTAATGTGCCTGAGCAAGCGTCTGTAATAGGGATTGGCAAGCTGCCCTAGTAGACAGGTATCCTCAAATATGAGTGGTCAGCTATACACACACACACACACACATATATATATGTTTTTTTTTCTAGCATGCATACTTTCATGTATTTAAAATATAACATAGTTTGGATTCCCTAATGTCTTTTAAGACTGACTTTATTTGAAGGGATCACAAAGAATGGTGATTTTAAAAGAAAATAAAAATTGTATGCAGAATAAATGTAAACAAACTATGGAGATTGGTTGCTTATATAAAAAAAATTATGCCAAAAAGTGTCGAAAATTCTTATAAATTTTACACACATAGGTTAGTGAAGTGATTTCAGCATTAATTACATTAATTTTACTGATTTATTCTTTGTATGACTACTTCTTTACAATATATATATATATATATATATATATATATATATATATATATATATATATATATGTTTAGTGGTACAAAATATTATGACTGCCATGAAAAAATGTATTGTTGGTAATTTTTTAAAATTTTTTACAAAAATGTATTGTTGGTAATTATTTTTTGCTATCAAAATCTATTGCTGGTATTTTTGTTATAAAATGTTTTATTCTTTCATAATGTTTTGACTCCAGCTTAGTGGTTAACTATTTGCCTAAAGCTGGGATCCTAACAGGTGCTACCACCTCAAGTCAGGGTGTACCTGGGAACTATAGCAATTAAGAGGTGCTTCCATGCTCTTTAAAACCACCTAATCAGAGGCCTTGCTGCCAGATATAGTTAATCACCATATACAAACTTAATTTGATCTACCTGTGATATACAATTATATTCATATAGTGGTATATTATTATGATTTTGTCCTCAGTTACAAAACTTTTCCACCTTATACTCATGATGCATATTTGTTTTATTCCCTTGATCAAGATCTGAATAAAGAGAAATAAAAACTAGACAACATTCTTTTTATAATTTGTCATTCACAGTATCTATGTTTTTTTTTCATTTTCCTCTCACTTCCATAAAATATGTCTATTTTAATGGCTATAGTAAATAAAATAATAATAATAATAATAAAAATGCTTCTTCGAAAAAGCAACAATAATTAGACAGAGTAAAACTAAAAATAACAACATACAATTATTTTATAAGCAACAGTATTCAAATTTAACTAAATCTTAAACAACTCCACTACTAACACCAATTGGCTATGCAACTAAAACTAGATTTATTTTTATGGTTTATCGACCTTTTGTGGGTTATTTAAAGCTAGAAATTACTTTTAGATCATAAGAATTATTTGGACATATTAATGATTTACTGATACTGATTTATTTTTAGATTGTAAGAATTATTTTGAGATAATAAAGATTTACTGGAACTCAGGTGTCTGATTTCAAATTCGAATCATTATCCATTACACCATCCACACATCCAAGCTTACAGCACCTGGTATTTTGAAGTGGTCACCCATCTAGGTACTGACCAGGCTTGACATTGCTTAACTACAGTGATTGTATGAGAACTGGTGTTTCAATGTAATATGGCCATAAGCCTGCTATATACGTAAAATAAAGATACCAAAAATATATCTATTAATCTTGATTTTTGTTCTTATTTACCTTTTATATTAACTGTAATGAGAAAGGTACATTGGAGTAATGGATAGTGGTTCAGACTGAGGAATCGGAGAGCCGAGTTTGGATTCCAGTCGAATCCATTACATTCACTTACATGCTAATATCCTTGGGAAAGGGTATGAATCCTTTTCTCCCCGCCCCCAGCTATGGGTAAATAGCAGGACAGACATGGTTCTATAGCCTTGGATGGCAACTGGTCTACCACAGAAAGAAATGGTAATCTACTGCAGGAAAAAAATCTGCCTTGTCAGTCATGTGTCGAAAGATACACGATTGCCTAAGCGTGTATTATCACGCATGGCACATAAATGTACTGAATGAGGAAGGCTTATGGCCACATGACATTCTATCACCAGTTTCCATATGATCACTGAAGTTAAGCCACATCAAGCCTGGTCAATACCTAGATGGGTGACTACTTGGGAATATCAGATGCTGAATGGATAATGGCTTGGAATTGTTATTCGGAGAGCCGAGTTCCAATTTCCATTGAGTTGGGTTTGTTATATTCACTTATGCGTCAATATTCTTAGGAAAGAATGGAAAACTAATCAATCGACGATATCTATTGAAAAAAAAGGGACTCAGTTGACATATTTACACAAGCAAGACATTAAAGCTTAAAAATGAAAAGGGATAAAAGAAAAATATAAATCTAAACAAAAGAATTATTAAATACATTATTTTGTAATGTATTCAAGAATTCTACCTTTTCTCCCAGTTTAGTTACATTGAGATGTCTTTTATTTATTGATTAAACCCCACTCCTTGAATATTCTTAGGAAAGGATGACTCTACCTCTAGTTATGGGTTAATTAGTAAGACTTGTATCACTAAAATCATTATTATTTTTAAGAAAAAAAAAAAGAAAAAAAGAAATTCTTACAATCTAAAAATATTTTCTGGCTTTAAATAACCTGCAAAAGGTTGATAAGCCATGAAACCTAATCAATCAACAACATTTATTGAAAATAAGAACTCAGTTGATATATTTACACAAGCAAGATATTAAAGCCTAAAAAAAGGGATAAAAGAAAAATATAAAATTAAACAAAAGAATTACATTGAGACGTCTTTTATTTATTTATTAAACCCCCTCCCTGACAAAAAATTTATTTATTAAACCCCCTCCCTGACAAAAAAAAAAAAAAAAAAAATTAAGCAACTTGAATACTGGTCAGAATTTTAAGTGACTTAAAAAAAAAAATGATATGATCATTAAAATGCTTAATTTCAAACAGATTGAAACTATATACTGCTACTTTTGAATTTAATTAAAAAGAAAGGGAAATAAATCCTCCCAATGTAATTAATATTAATAAGTATTTTTCAGAAAAGCCTCAGAATGGTGAGTTTAGATCTTGTTACCTTTACGAATACACTAAAAACTAATGAGTCTCTATGTTTAAATTAAAACCTTTAGAGTGAAGTCCTTGGAAAGAAGATAATTTTAGGATTTGGACTATAAAAAAACGAAATTGAAAGAAATAAAAAATATCTTTAGAATACTTCAGTTGCTAATCCAATTTCAAACAAAAATGGAAAGATTAGCTTCTAAGGAATTTAGGAATTTTGGTTTTGAGACTAGGGAATGAATTTAATAATAGACAGCAAATCAACACTTCCAAATGGATCCAATGAAAGCAGTTAAGAATTTCAGTTGTCATTCATTTTGGAAATGGATGCCTCTATTGAACTAAGGGTATACACTTTCTTCCAAAATTGCAGGAGAGTAGTAATACCACTACCCACAACCCTGAACTCAATTCGGTCCTGATTAGCAGGTAATACAATCTTCTAGATTTAGAACAGATATCTCCAGCTGTATTAACCCCACGCCTTTCCCCAAACTTTATTTGTCCACTCAATCAGAAAGTTGCAATCACTTTTGGACGTAACTCCTTAGACTTTTTCCATTTGACTGATATGTATGTCCTTTGTATTGAGTTGCAAACTTTTTGCACCTTTCTTCATCAGATTTTGCAAAATTGCAATACAAAGCCTCCACCTTTTTAGGAGAGGAGTTGATATTGGTTGAGGTTGGGGTTAAGATTGTGGAAAGTTTTCCGAGTGAAGGAAAAAAAAACATCTTTTGCTGCAGATTCTTGTACTAAAGTGCTGACAAGTTCTTTCTATTTTTCATTCAATTTATCTAATAAACATCGGAAATTGAACCGAATAGATTCACTTTTGCATTTCCGTTCTCTCCTTTTTCACCATCCTCTCCAGATTGTTTGCCAGATTCGGACCAGCAATGGACAATTGGAGCCAGAAATAATTACAGATTTGGCCATCACAGTTGACCATTCAGTTAGGGATCCATACATTTTAAGAAGAAGAAGAGGAGGCAGAAAAGTCAATTGTGTTTTCAAGATGGTTGTTACGGGTCTTGCAAGTTGGTCTTAAATAACATGTTCTAATCTTCTGCAGTGTGTTCCAATTCCTTCCAACTTTGAAAGTGATCAAATTTGGCTTTGAAAGAAGAATTAATGAGATTCAAGCAGATTCATGCCTTGTGTGTTTTATTTAAAGAATTTACAGTCATAGCAATTAAAAAATTCTACAAAGCCTACCATTATAATTTCTTTATCGCTTCATATTTTGAGTCTACAGTAGGGCAAAAAATGCTATTTAATTTTGAGTAAAACACTTAAATTTTCTGTTATTGATTTGTTGCTCTTATGATCTTTAAAACATTTGACCTTAAGGTCAGCCGCAAGTGATATATCTATTAGGACATCATTCTACTGTTTGAACAACATGGTAAAATTAACTTGCAAAATACTAAGTTAAGATGTGTGCACAGATACTACACTGATCTTCAATAGACACAAGGCTAGAAAATAGGGAAGGGCTGGTCTTACATTGTCTAATTAAAACTTCAGCTGATCTCCCATACAGTTAACATGCATAAATAATATTCTTTTCCTTTGTTGCCTACCACAAAAATACTGATACTCCATTAATCTTGGGTAGAGTAGACATAGGAATCAACACTACAAAGTCAGAAGATTATATGAAACTAACAGTAACTATTCAGTGTTGATTCCTATGTCCACACTATATATAAATGCTATCTAATACTAAGTACACTTGCCCTATAGAGTTTTATCCCATGTTTCCTGTTTAGGATTAGGTTTCCAGTTCCTTCTAAAGTCTTTTCATTCTCTTTCACTCCCTCTTGTGTGTTAGTGGCATTATCACATTTTTAAATAATAATCAGGGTGTGATGGATAAATTATCGTCTAAATTATGCAAAAATGAAAATAATACTGACATCTTATATATTTACCAAAATTACACAAAAATATCTTGAAATACTAAAGTGTAAATTTATTCAATAAAATCACCATTGGCTTCAACCACAGTCCCAAGACAACTTCAGAATCTTCTGCAACTTTTCTGGATGGTCTGTTTGTTTGAATTGGTGAATTCTACTATAATCCTTGCCTTTGGTTCATCTTTGGTATTACAAAGAGTTTTGTTGCTCTCTTGTTCAACTGCATCGCACACATAATAATTAAGGGTGTTACAGTCTGGGGAGTTAGGTGGGCAGATGTAAGAGGTGATGTGGTCACAGGGTCTTCCAGCAGCACCTCCTCAAGCCACTTGATGTAGGCCTCTGTATTGAGTCTGAGGCCCTCACCAACAAATTTGGGAGTTCCTTGCTTATCAGAATGATCAGAATGAGTTTTCCAAGCTGCCGTATCTTTGTAATTACCATTAGACTCATCCAACTCTTTCCGAATCCTGTACACTCTCCTCAGATTGATATTCAAACACACTGAAATGTTTGTATTGGAGCTTCAGGTGTGAATGCCAAGCAAGGCAGCATGCCATTTCCAAATTCCTGACAGAGGGAATTGTGTCAGGGTGCTCTTTTTCTCACAGATTGTGCCCTTGACAAAATCAAAAACAAACAATGTGTATGTGTGAAATTCAAAATGGAAAATGGTAACGATTTACCCATTGCACCCTGTACATATTTCACAGCAAAAGAAAATCTGTAATAATTATGGGTTTCTATTTAAGAGTACTTAGAATTTGTATCCCACAATATTTGTGTGAAGAAGATAAATACATTGAAAATACTTTAAATTACTTCAATACCCTAATTATTTCTTACATAATGATGATTGTATAGTGCATTGGATTCACAGAATTAGAAAAGCAAATAATATGAATAATCCTGATAAAATCAGACACATAATAATCCACCTAACAACTCAATAACAGAATTGAAAAGAATTTATCTAAACTTAATTGCAACTACTTCAAAATCAATAAAATATTTAATTAATACAAAACAAAATAATAACTATGTAGCAGTAACTTTTAGTATAGAGTGCACAAAATGTTATAAGAAATCCAGAGGTGAAACATTTATGTATATTTGAATAAAAGAATAAATGAACACAAAAGGGACCTTTTACAAAACAACAAGCTCAATGCCTCAGTCATACATCATAATAAGTCACACTAAAATTTCGATTTAAAGGAGGCAGTTTTAATTAAAAGAGAAAGTAATTTACTAATGTGAAAATATAGAACATGCACTGGTATACATTAGTGTGCAAAGTGACTGTTAAGAGACTTCATAGAATTGATAAAGTGACAAAAATGGAGAAAGGATAATAAATGGAGCCAAAGGTTGGTTGCACAATGGATAGCAAATGCAATAAAAAAATACCAGAAAATGGAGAGATGAGATAGAAGAAGTTGCTGGTAAGACATAGCAAAGTATAGTTTTGAATTTCAATGTTGAATGGTTAAAAACGTCTCTGGCCAAACCTCAAAAAGCTTTCAATATGAAAAGGCTATAATTTAGCAGCTTTTTGCTATGTGGTAGCATTTAAGTATTATATAAATTTCTTAATTATATTATTTTTTAAATAACAATGCCAAAGATTTATACAGTAAATGTATACGTCTTTAAGATTATAGTTATCCAGGATATCTTCAGTAAGGTGGTTTACAGCGTCAGATGTCTTTAACGATGTATAGATAAAAAAATTTTTTCTTTTCATGAGTATGTCATCTTTTTTGTATACTTTTTCATTTTTATTCTACAATTTCTATTTATTTATTTTATATAAAATATTTGAGTTTAACAACTGAAATTTATTTCAATTATTTTTCTGTCTGGTTTCATAAAATGATTTCAAATGTTCAACTGGTGTAGACATATCCATAGTTAATTTAAAATGGGAATATTTTCCCCATATATTTTAAATTGAGCTCATGCTTGTGTGCTAGTTGCCAAATTTTATTCCAGTATCATACTGGACAGTAAATATAGAAGCAATTTGCATTTGGTAACGGTATGGATTTATGTTAGGTTTAAAAAGGTTTCCTTTATTTTTTTTTTATGTATTTTGCATGTTTTATTGGTGTTTGGAGGAAGGAGAGAGATTGCAAAGGATCAGAATTGAAAGAAATG